TCCCTTGGATCCTCCATCTTGCAGGGGCGTATTGAGCGTTAACTACGTCCCTATTCTTCCTCCTAGTCTCCTGCATATAGTTACTCCTAACAACACTCTATCACATCTCCCTCTTTCACGCTCACGGCTCCCATAATCTCTCTTACTTTGTTAAGCACACTTGTATAAGTATGTATCACTACTCTAATAGAAGATCAGTTCAATTTTCATTATCTTCTCTTACTCTTTACAACCGCCAGAATTAGAGGTCCGACTCCTGTACTCAAGCGGCCAATGTTGGGCCGAGTGCTTTTTTCGAACTTACAATCAAGTCGCAGAACCGGACGATCTTATTTAGGGGTGGGCAACCGGTTCGGTAAACCCGAACTGAACCAAAACCGAATTAAACCAAAACCGAAATAATGCTATTCGGTTCGGAATGGAAATATGGATATTTCGGTAACCAGTGTTCTTTCAACCGAACTGAATTTTCGAATTTTTGACCAAAAAATCGATATACTATTATTGCAAGCTCCGGATGGTGGATTTTTTTGTTTGTAGTTGTTTTTAGACTTAAATATTTGAAATGTTTTATGAGTTATGTGTTGAAAATTTTGATTTTATCATTGATGATGCCTATAATTGCGTATTTTGTTTATATTAGGGGTAAAAAATAATTTAAAAATTAAAAGTGAGAAGATACAAGTAGCCTCACAAATTCGGTTTTGTGTGAAAAACCGAACCAAATTATAATTCAGTTTAAACCGACCGAACCGAATTATAATTTGGTTTGAGATTTTGGAGAATTCGGGAATCCGGTATGCATATATTCGGTTCGGTCAAAACCAAACCGACCAAATGCCCACCCCTAACTCTTATTGATCCAACGGCCAGCAACTTTCAGAATTGAAAATTGAAGAAAAAGAGAATATTGAATTGTATACATGTATTAGCTGACGCAGACCAAAACAAACAACCCTAATTATTTTCTATTTTCTCCTCTTCGCTCTGACGATGCAGTCTCTTTCCTTACTGATTCTATTCTTCAATTCTTTTACCTGCAGCGGACTAACCATAACCCTATGGTAATCTTTTCTCCAATCTATCAAATTGTACATATGCCTCCAAAAGCCCTCTCTATACGACCATATGCTCTGCGCGGTTGCTTCTCTTTTGGCCAAAGCTATATGCATATATGATACATCTCCTTCATATAGATATTGATCATGGTTGATGAGAATTTCATTGTTCAATTAGTCTAATAAATGTCTTTCTATTCTATGTGAGAGCGGTTCTATAGACGGGTTATCAATGATTTTATAAGGCTGACTCCAATCCATAGAGTTAAAAAGCTATAAAGCCATGTTTGGCTTATTTTCTTCCTCCAACCCACAAAAAAGGGAAGCTAATTATGGGTATTGGGTTTTTAGGAATTATATATGGTTGGGTTTTGAGATGGAAAGCGGAATTTAGCTGGAAAAAGGTGGCCTACTCGCCGGCTGTCTCGGCCAGCTGGCGGGGCAGACCCCCTATTTTTTTCTTCTCTTTTTCCTGGTTAGTTGGTTGTTTCGGAGTTTCTTTTTTTTTTCTCTCTTCCCATTGGTTGTTTGTGATTCAATTTGAAATAATTGATGTAGTGACGAAAAAACGGTCATATTTTAACGGCCATAAAAACCGGACATATTTTAACGTCCATATTTTTTCTTATATATTACAACACTCTTCATAGATTTATCTTCACTCATTCTCAGAACTTAGATCGCATTCTCTCAAAATTCAATTATTATCGTCTCTCAAAATAGAAAAATGGCAGGCAAGAGAGGACCTAATTGGCGTCCGAATGAAGATGAAATCTTGTGCATAGCTTGGGTGTCAATATCAGAAGATGGAGCGGTTGGCACCTACCACTACAAGGTTGTGGGAAAGAGTGACGGCAGAACATCAAAAATGGGATCCTACTACAACTCGTATTGCTATTGCAATAGAATCCCAAATGAGGATTATTAACTATCACTGCAATGCTTGTAAGGGAGTTTTGCAAAGAGCACAAATGCATCAATCGAGTGGCAAGAACCGGTTTGATGTGGTATTCTTTTGGACCCTAAACTTGTTATTTTCTTATTTTTTATGTGTCAATAAAAACTTCTCTAACCCATGTACTAATTATTTTATTAGGAAAAGGATGCAAGAGCAATATATAAGCAAGAGAATGGGAACAAACATTTTGCTTTTGAGCATTGTTTTGACATTTTTCGAAATTGTCCAAAATGGTACAGCAATCCTGAACTGCTTGTTAGTCACATTCCACCTATGGGGCAAGGTTCCCAAAGTTCTCCCACAAGTTTTGGTTCTCAATAATCTCCCTTGGGAGGCAAAACTTTCTGAAGACCCCCATCAAGGTGCTCTCACCCATACGAACATACTCATCAAGTTGATTAGTTGGAGAACCATATGCTAGCATGCGCACCGCACCAGTAAACTTCTGCTCTGGAGATATTGACAATTGACCAAAGCTATCACACCTTAGAGAAAATGAGGGGTCAAACCTCACAATGTCGCCCATAATGCGATGGAATAATCTTGGCTGCATCCGATAGCGCCTTTTGAATATGCGAGCATTGTATACTAGATTTGGATCGAAGTAATCCCTCATAAGACGGCGATTACATTCGACCCTTTCACGATCAATGTGACGTCGACTTGTAGTTTGACGGCGACTTGATGAACCTTCAGCCAGCCTCCGGCCGTTCAAACTCAAACGTAGGTGGTGAAACCTTTCGTACTCTTCTATTTCTTCTTCTTCTCCAGACGATGAGCTATCTGAGATACCCATGATGAATGTGTTTGTTTTAGAAAGGGTTACTAGTTTGGCCCGAAGTTTAGCGTAAGTGTCAGTTTTGGCCCGACTTTTCTAATAAGGCATTTGTGGCCTACTTTGCAAAGTATTGGACAAATTTGGCCCAAAACTTATGTTGACTGTTAAAACTGATGGTCAACTATTTTTCCATCAGTGACTCAGCATCAAAATGCTGTGGTGGATCCCAGGTGGTTGCCACATCATTTATTTAAATTAAAAAGTTCAAAAACCAAAAACTTAAAAAAAAACTCAAAATACACTTTCCAATCTCCACCTAATTTCCTCCCTTCACAAGTAAATCACAACTCAATTCACTCCCCGCCACCCAAAAATAATCCCTAACAATCATCAGAACCCAACCCTCGCTACCCATCTCGCCACCATTCCCATCTTTCAATTACCCGAATTCCATCTCCCCTACCGTTCTTTTGTCTGTTAGCTTCTGCTGCTGCTCCTTTGAGATCCCGTCCACAAGATTAGAAGTTGCTGCTCTCTGCCTGTCCCTAGGGTTGGAAGTTTGGTACCGGTATTTGGGATATACCGAATACCGTACCGAATTTGTCTATATTTGGTATTACCGAATACACGTATTATTTCTTGGGATTGGGATTGGGATTCAATTTCAATTGTTATTCGGTATTAGGGATTACGGGATTGATATTGGTATATACCGAAATACCGAAATATAAGCTAGTGTGTATATTATCATCTCAACTAGACTCTCTCATTCACTACTATACTACCCTCAACCACCAATATATTGTTATTTTCATAACACCTAAAAGCAAACACTAGTATTAGTCTCCTCTCAGCCTCCAATTCGTCAAATTAAAGATTAGCAATGACAAAAACTTGAGATACCACCTCTACTCCATTCTCCTTATTCATATCCTAATTCTAGCAAAACTCAAAATTATGTTTAGTCTTTTTGACCTATATTAAACAATTAAATCTAATTTATATATTTAATTATTAATTATAAAGGTAATTAATTTCGTATTCGATAATACCGATTAGGATACCGAAATATTTAGGGGAGCTAGCTTGCTTGGATAGCAAGGTCATGTCCTGGGTGGCGTCGTCGTCGAGATTGTCTTGAACCAGATGCGGCTGGTGAGGCCTTCCAAGGCGGCGGGTCGTGGGTTTAATTTAGTGCGGCAGATTTTCGCCAGGCCTGGCGAGAAAATGACGGCGGCGCTGAGTGTAAATAGGGTTGTGATTTGGGTAAGGAGGGGGAATGGGTTGCGGGTTTGGTTTATTTAGGGTTGGGGGTAAAATTATCCAGGGGAGAAAGAGGGAATTTTTTTATTTGATAATTTTTTTTATTGAATTAATAAATTAAAATAATATTATTTAGTGACGTGACATGTCACATTAGCTATTTTTTGTTGAGTCACTAACGGAATAGTGTTTGATCGTTAGTTTTAACAGTCAACATAAGTTTTGGCTCAAATTTGTCTAATACTTTGCAAAGTAGGCCACAAATGTCTTATTAGAAAAGTCTGGCCAAAATTGACATTTACGTTAAACTTCGAGCCAAACTAGGGTATTAACCCTTTTAGAAATGAGAAGAAGTTTTAGTTGAGTTGATGAAATTGAAGAACTGTCATTTATAAAGACACATGGTGCAAAAAATGACAAAAAAGGTTGTTAAGTAACAGCTAAAAAAAGGTCATATTTGGAGTGTTCCTGAAGTTAATAGTAATATTTTAACGACTAAATTTTCAAAAAATTATCTCAGAATTTTAAAAAAATTACATCGAAAATTTTGTATTCAAAAGTAATAACGAACTATGAAAAAATTAAAGTGAAATATAAAAATTATAGGTCAAATAAGTATGGTTTATTGAAATAAATTGAAAAAGGAAGGTGGGAAACTAAATTTAGTTTTTTGTAGGGTTGAAATGAAAATTGGGTTTGGAGAGCTAAAAGCCATATTTGACTATTTGAGAAGCCAAATTCCTTTTTTGGATGGGAGTTAGTCTAACTATTAATCATGGAACCATGAACTACTAAATTAACCGGTTCAACTTCTGGTCTGGTTCTGAAAACATTGCTTTTTGTACAATGGACTGGAAGTGGACTTTGGATGGGAAAAGGACAGAAGGTTCCCCCGTGGCCTTCGCCCTTCAGTTCAAGGATTACAAACCTCATCCAACAGCCTAGCCGAGCTTAGCTGCGGCGACGCTGGTTCTGGGTTGCATCTTTAATTTGTTAAAAAAGAATCCAACTTCTGGGTTTCGTTTCTGGATTGCTTTTTGCTTTGTATGTCCCAATAATCGAATCTCTCCTTCATTTCGGCGAATCAATCCCCCCGGCGCCCCGTTTCTTTCAAAGACACGCGGAGGGAGCCCATCAGCGGTGAAGAATATCAGCCAATCGGTACCCGAATCGTCACCCCTTGAGGTACTGAACATTTCTTGACTTGTGTGGCGGGGCAGTCTTTATTTCTTCCGATAATGAGCTGATCATGTCTCTTCTGATTCTCTGTTTCATTCATGGTTTCTTGTGTTGTTTAAAGAGTTCTATTTCCAACAATTCATGAATCTCGTTTGCTACATCCTTCATTACTTCGTTATAGCATACTCAAACCATTGACTAGTTATGAAATGATTGCTGCTACAGTTTACAGAACCTGCAGTTAACTGCTTCTGCCTTCTAACCCAGGTCCTGAGTTCATTAATGGTTTAAGTTAGAATTGACACTTGAACTGGAAATCTTTTGCAGAGAAATGCCTAGAATTGACACTTGATAGGTTGATAAGTGCCTCGCCGTTGACTCGAGTATAAACACTGGACCAATTGTGTGTCTTCTTAGGAACAAAATTTCTGACTGTCAACTTCAATTGGGACAAAGGCCAACCATTGGTCTTCCAACTATCTGGTCGTTTGCAGCATCCTGAACCTAGAGAACTTGATCAGTCAAACATAGGGATACTTAAGCCATACATTTAACGAACCTAGGCTAGACATTCTTGTGAAAACGTGCAGCAGCTTGGGTGTTGATTCATGCATTCATTTACCTATAACACAAGCAGAACAGAACAATTGGTTGTCTTCTACAGCATCGTTGCATTCTACAGCATTGCAGTTCTGGCATTTTATTATAAGCATTCATTCTATTGGGTGTTCTGTTGAAAACAGTTTCTTGAAAATCCAAAACCAAAACCTCTATATTCATCATCATTGTGCTTTGTGTAGACAATACATTGTTAACTTGGTGAATCCCATTTTGCTTCTCCATACCTCTTCTGTCTACTGAGCATTCTCTGTGTTAAACCTGGCAGAGAGTTATCTCTATTCCAATTTCAAGAAAGAAAAGATGCATAACGACCAAGACAAGAATCTCATCGAAATTCTGGACGGAAACGTGCTCGTCGACATTGCCAAGTACACAAACTACGTCAGCGACCCACAGGCTGGCGCGATCACGACATTCTCCGGGACAACAAGAGACACCTTTGATGGCAAGACGGTGGTGGAGCTGCGGTACGAGGCGTACGTGCCAATGGCAGTACGCCAAATCCAAGCAATCTGTTCGTCGGCCAGAGCCACCTGGAAGATCCACGCCATTTCAGTGGCACACCGCCTGGGTGCGGTTCCGGTAGGGGAAACCAGCGTGTTCATTGCAGTGTCGGCTGTTCATCGTGCCGATGCGCTGGATGCTTGTAAGTTCATGATAGACGAGCTCAAGGCGACTGTTCCGATTTGGAAGAAGGAGGTTTACTCGAATGGAGAGGTTTGGAAGGAGAATCCTGAGTTCATGGAGAGGAGATCAATGGAGCCGGCAGGAAAGGCTGTTGATGCGCCGAATGTTGCTTGTAGAAGAATTTGCTGTGGGGCTAAGTCTAACGTCAGTGATGAAAGCACTGCATGTGAGATGAACTTAGAATAGAACTTGAAAATGCTTAGTTTAGCTGGACTGGGAAATAAGATTCAAAACAGAACTTGATGATCTAGGGCAAGGTTGTCAAACCGGTTTAAGTCATTGAGCCGGTCAAGCAAGGGGTTTGAGGTTTAATGGTCTGATCGGGATCCGGCCGTTTTGAGCCGTTTTAGACGTTTTCTAAATATATATACAAATAAAGTAGTAATTAAAAATTTAATGAGTGAAATAAAATTTATCTTACATATATCTATTAAAAACTTATTTTCAACAAAATAAATCTACCTAACCTCCATGATCCACCTACCATTTCTCTTCCTTCGTTCCTTTTCCTCTCTTCCGCCTCTCTTCTTCTCCCTGTTTAGGGGTCAGACCGGAAGGTTTTCTGGAGACCATTTTGAAGCCCAATTCGGGTCGAACCGGGTCGAACCGGGGGGTTTGATAGGGGTTTAACAACCTTGATCTAGGGAAGCCATTTATGTGCATTTGCTTTGCCATTTCATTTTGGGAGGGGAGGAATCTATTGTTGCTCCCTTCTTCTGACATTCTGTTGTTCGGTAAGCTATGTTGTTAGTTACTCGTTCCGACCATTCAGGCCCAATGCAATGGGCCGGGCCCCTGTGGACCATGTCAGACCCGAGCAACGAGCCTTACCAACTCTAGCCCAAATTTCCTCCTGACGAAGCGTAAGAAACAAGAGTTGTGGGCCCATCTCTCGGAAAACAGCAAAAAAGCAGCCCTCCTTTTCTCTTCTCTCTTTAATTAAAAAAATCCGTCGAAGAGAGCAGATTTTACACGGAACCGATTGGAAACCGGCGTAAGGAAACGGAATCTGGACCGCTAGATTTTCAACGAATGACGTCACGACACCTCGACAGCCTCGAGCAATGGTCATCGAACAGCTCGCGTCGTGGAGGTTCACGATAAGGTAAATGGGTGCGCGCTCCACCATCGCTTCGCCCTCCTTGTATGAAAAAAGAAACCGTGGCCAAGCTGGTGGATGCGCCTTCGGAAAAATCAACATAAAACCGGAGGCCTAGAGAGAGAAAACAGAGAGAGGTGCGGCGGTGGGCTGGTGGCTCTGGGTTGAATCTTTAATCCTCTCAGAAAAAATTCTGGGTTGCTTTTTCTTCTCCTCTCTTTTTCGGTTGCCTTTTCTTCCTTCTTCTGTATTCCTTTCTTTCTCTTCTTCGTCTCAATAATCGAATCCCTACCTTTTCAATTTCGTCAATCCGTTTCTCCCGTCTTCTGGTTTCCTCAAACAAACGCGGAGGCGAGCCGTCGGAGGTGAGGAATTTCTGCTGCCGGAATCGTCAACCTAAGGTACGGGATGTTTCTTGTCTTGTTGGAGGGTTGCGTTTTCATCTGATAATTAGCAGATCCCCTCAGTTTTCATAATTGTATGTTGTCCTCGGTCGTTAATCGGCTCTCCGCCGGCTACGACGATCGGGTGGAATTGGTTGATTGAAGAGAAACCCACCCAGATATTAAAATTGGTTTGATTTTCTCCTTTAGGAATAATAATGGAAAATAATTTATTTATGAATTACAATTTACAATGCGCGAGTGAAGGTCACGCGGACGCCTGCGATTTGAGAGGAAATTCGGTGAGCTGGAATCGTTTATTAATGTCCATTTTGGATTCTTGGAGAACCTGCCGGAATTCCCCCCTCTCTCTGCCTCGCTGGATTTAACTTGTTGGATTTTTCGTTTAGTTTATTCTTTTTATTTGACAGTCAAGTTTTTCCAACGGCACCGTATTTGGCACGGGTTCAGGGGGCATTCCCGTCATTTGTGTAAAACTCACGCTCGTGTTGTTCATTTGTCGAATTGTCGTCTCCTAGTTTTAACTTTTAACTCCCACATTTCCCAAAGTACCCCGCAACAATGAATCCTTGTTCCGGGGTGAACCTGTAAATACCAGTTCTTCTCAGCGAAGGAAAGGAAAGAAAGAAGAGTCATTAACCGACAAAGCAACGTTATTTATTCAGATTACGCCTTCGTAATTCAGTCGAGAAATTAAAGTTCTATCTTTTCCTCTGAATTCTCAGTCAGAGCTGGGAAACACAAACACGCAATAGAGAAGACCCAATTCTCTCTCCCTGGCTTTCTCGAGATAGGGGAATCGTGGGGGGAGAACAAGATCTTTCGTGTTTTGATAAATAAAACCCTAATTTGCTTTTTTTCTCTGGTTTCTCTTTCTTTGAAGCTCTTCTTTGCCGGGTTCATTGAAACTACTTGAAAAAGAAGAAGATGGGTTCGGAGCAGAACGACGGGACGAGCTTCTCACCCGCGGAGCCGAAGCTTTGCGTCAACGGATGCGGGTTCTTCGGCTCGCCGTCCAACATGAACCTCTGCTCCAAGTGCTACAGGGAAATACGGGTCTCCGAGGAGCAGGCGGCGTCGGCCAAGGCCGCCATGGAGAAGACCCTCAGCTTCAAATCTAAGAAGCCCGTGTCCGAGGCTGAATCGATCGCAGCAGACGTCAAGTCTGCCGCGGCGGCGGAGGCGGAGCATGTGATTGCTCTGGCGAAATCATCCGCGGCAGCGGGGTCGTCGTCATCGGAGGCGGCGGTTGCGGTGGCGGCGGAGGTGGTCAAGGCGGCGAACAGGTGCTTGACTTGCAACAAGAGGGTCGGGTTGACGGGGTTCAAGTGCAAGTGCGGAAGCACTTTCTGCGGGTCTCATAGGTACCCGGAGAACCACGATTGCGACTACGATTTCAAGGAAGCCGGGAAGAATGCAATCGCAAAGGCCAATCCGGTCATCAAGGCGGATAAGGTCGAGAGGTTCTGAGAGATATGATGAAATGGAATGGTGGGTTGTCATAGATTTGGTACTTCTGTTTGGAACCATTTTTTTTTATATTATCTTTTCTTATAAGCTCTTTTCACTTGGCTTCTGTGTTCTTCAAAATTTAGTGGGTAGTTTGGTGGGTGGCTTGTGTGTCGAAATGGTTTGTTGGGGGGAATGGTGGGTCTTGGTTGCACGATGAAATTGTGGGGATAAGGGTTGATTCCATAATAAAAGTGCATCAATGGATTGTTAGTTGCTCTTTCGATTCTGGGATCAGATGTTGCTGTTTGTGTACATAATGTTGCATTCACCTACATGGATTATGGTTAGGCACCACTTGGTGTTTGGTTCTTTGCCTTGCTTTGATTCATCTTGCAGACACTTCAAGCATTTCATGCACTTGATTCATTAGGGTATATATGACAGGGCGAAGGACATAAACGGTTAAGAACATTAGATTGTTTGTATGCCTTGCTATGATCTGTGGAGTGCAAGTATGGTGAGCCACTGATCCTAAGTGCCCTCTGGTGGGGTGTCGAACTTGGGTTTATCAGCAGTCTTTTGCTTGAAGAGCCATTAGCCTTCTTTGGGCAAAGCTAGATTCTTTGGGCTCGAACAATTTGAGTCGTCTTTCTCCTAAGAACAGCGTTTGGTCCCCAATGCTGCTGTATGTCACAACTTCTTGTAAGTTGTAACATCATCCATGGGATGAAGTTCTTTCCAGTTTAATTAAGGTTATCGAATGTGAACTTTGAAATCCAGTTGCAGACTTGTAGTGAGCAACTTGGTTGGGACCTGGAGATCACTGCTGCCCGCCTGCCCCTGGTATGATTCCTGTGTATATTAGTTTGTATTGTTTACATTATCAGAACCCCATCATCTGCAATTCTGCCAAGATACAGAAGCACCCACATAAGATATGCTAAATCGCTTAGATGTAATCAAAATCGTGCATTTGGTTACCAAAATATTTTACGTAGACTCACTCTTGTGACTGCATTGATCCATCACTTGCAAATTGGTCAAGGGTCGAACCCCCTCGTTTCTTAGAAGCACAAACCTGCTCCATTGTCCGATTCAGATGCAGGCGAGTCTGGACATCCAGTAGCCAAGCTCACCCCTCCATGCATCGATCTGCTCCCTTTGTGCTTGTTCTTAGAATCGGATTCCTACATAGGACAGTACCCCAAGCCCCAACCAATACACAGGATCCTCTCTGCTTTACTCGTTGCCCGCTGGTTCATACACTGATGTTCATCTTTCTTGGCTTGGGCCATTATATAGGTTCCTTTTGGCCCACTGAACAATTAAAAGGAAACTGGAACTGCAAAGCAGAAGGTAATGGAGAACAGTACATAAGAAAAGAGGCAAAAGTAACAGTGTCTCGCGTCGGTTCTTCTCCTTTTGAGGCTTCCCTTCAGCCAATGCTTCCGGTTTTTTTGTCAAGATCATGATTTGATTTGTGGGGATAATTGCAGACAGCGAATAGTAAAATGGACGTCCCAACTATAAAATGCCTCACAATGTGGTATATGGGTTGTTTCGTTAATTTGACAAATGAAAATTCTGATAAAAATTTAAGTATATAAAATCACGGATATATGAGAATTTTTGGTTCATTATGAACTCAAAAAATATCATTGTTTGTTATAAAGATTTTATGATAGATTTTGTTAATCAGATTTGCATTATAAACTGAAATTGATATTGATTGTTCTCAATAGTATGAGAAGGGAAATAAGAGGAGTAAGTTGGTCACAAAACAAATAATGGAATTCTAAGTACATGAACAATTCCCACGTCAAGTGGTGAGATTTTCATGTATGTGAAGCTCACAAATTTTGACCCTTAAAGTCCGTAAACCCTGCGGATTTGTTGCGTCTAAATACATAAAACATATAACGGAGTTTGGACAAGTCCATGATAGATTTGGAATCCAATATCATGTTCATCACTAAATCCATCAATCAAACAACCCTTATATGTACAACGAGAGCAGAGAAGGCAAGTTGACGAGTTCAATCATGTCCTATAGCTTAGGAGTCTTCTTCACCCGACCATGGGTATTCTCATCGACCCGACCTGGCATGACCCGCCTCATTCTTGACCCGTTCTTGCCTAAATTAAATGTAATATTAGTCAAATTACTTAGAATTTTCCTTTTATTACATAATATTTTATTTATAATAAAGTTGTGAATTAGTGAAGATAGGAATGACAATGGGGCAGGTCCGGGGGGCTTGAGTTCAAGTCCTTAAGCCTCATTTTTTAAGGAAAATCTTAAAACTTTCCTATTAGCTGATAGTGGATTAGGTAGTTAATGGGAGTTAGTAGTTAATAGGTAGTTAAGGATAAATAGGGTTATGCAAATATAATTAAAATTAATAAAATTAATTAATGATTCTCTTTCTCTCTCCTCCCATGATTTTCTCCATAACCCTCTGTCTACATTATAATTAAAAAGAAATATGAAATTAATTTTATTTAATATTTAATAACATCCGAATTTAATAATTTTCTTTTTCTAAAATGGAAATTTGAAATTTAAAATATATGCCTCTATCACATCTTGGCAACTTCCGATTAGTATTAAGTATTAACATTTTGTAATGACATTATCAATATTTATAAATTGAATCATCATTAGGACTTTTCATTGCATGGGTTTGAGATTTTTCGTTGTTAGGTATTCGTTTGTGTTATTATTAATGTTGTTCGACATGTTTTTTAATAATTTTATATGACATTATTAACTTTTTATGTTATGTTTTGTTTGTAACATTAGTAAAAGTGAAATTGTGTTTTCAATTTGTTGGTACTTGAAGTTTATTTACTATTACATCGTATTATCAATTTGGTTCGCAATGATTTATAATCGTTTGAAGTACTATTGTCAATATTTTTTTTCCAAGCACAATACAACCATTAGCAAAAATTTAATTCATTTGTAAGATTGCTTATGTTTAGTGATTTGAATTATTAATATTTTTATCGTTTATGTTTGTAACTTTGTCAAATATCATTATCAAGAAGCATACTTGTTAGATATTCGTTTGTTTATGACATTATCAAAAGTGAATTTACGTTTAATGATATAACTATGATTATTAATCTTTCAGTCTAAGTTAGTAACATAGTTTGGTGTCATTATTAATAGGTGTGTATAAGCATTATCAATGTTGAAAATAAGAAATTAATAATATCTAATAAGATACTTAACAATCATTAGTTGCTATCATTATCAAAGTTTTTGGATGCATTATCCATTAAACACATGTTACTTATTAATGCGTTTTTAGTGCTATTTGACATTAAACATTGCATCTGAATAGTATTAATATTTTTATATTACAAAAATCTATTTCCTTATCAGTGACTTGATCATTCGATATTAATGATTTTTAATATATTTATTAAAAGTTTGATGTCATTTATAATGTTGAAGTCGGACATTTTTACATTGATGTTTTGTGTTTATTTTCAACGAAATACTTTTCGTTATCAATTATTTATTGTATTGTTATTAAAAGTTTGGTGTTGAGGCGTGAATGTTAGTTTGCTTGAGCTAATATTTTTCTGGACAATGTTTGTTTGACTGAATCACACAGGTGCACTATGTCACAAGTACCCAAGATGTTGAAAATTAGTATTGTGCTTTATGATCATTGAGAATGATAATGTAAAGCAATATTAATTGATCATAAAACGTTAATAATGTCATTAGAAATCAATGATAGTTATAAACATGATGTGAAAATGTGAATCATTAGTACTAAAGATGTTGTAAATCAATGATATTGTTATTCAAACTATTAATGACTATGGTACATAACTTAAATGATTCATTCATAGGCGTTGATGACGAAACTATAAAACAGTAACAATTGATCCAAAATTGTTAATAATGTAATTGTAAGGAATTGATAAGTATATTGAAGTCGTTAATAATGATGAGGTATAATAATAACGATTCATTTCATAAATGTTGATAATGTCATTGTAAAATGTTAATACTGTATTGCAAGTTGTCACTAAGTGAGAGAGAGCATATATTTTTAATTTCAATTTTCATTTTAAAAATTAAAAAATATTAAGTTTGAATTTATTAAATATTAAATAATAATATTTAATTAAATTAATTTCGAATTTCCTTTTAATTGTAGTGGAGAGAGAGGGTTATGGAGAAGATCAAGGGGGAGAGAGAAAGAGAATCATTAATGAGTAATATTAATTATATTTTCATAATATCTTATTTATTCCAACTAACTATTAACTACTAACCCCTCATTAACTGCCTAATCTAGTATCAACCAATAAAAAGGGTTTAAGAACCTCCTTAAACAATGAAGTTTAAGGACCGGATCCAACCCGGGTCCGGGGCGGGTATCTCGATCCCCATACCCGCCCCGTGGCAGGTCTGGTCATTTATCATGGGGCACGAGTCGGGGCAGGCCGACCTAATGAGTATATAATTTATATGGAAAATGAAAAATATTTGTTATTTTTATTATATGACCAAGAAACAAACCATAATATGATAAATATAGTTAAGTTATTAGAAAAATTGAGGTTTTCACTAATTTATAACTTTATTATAGTTAAAATATGATGTAATAAAAGGAAAATTCTAAGTAATTTCTAATTTGACTAAAATTACATGTAATTTATGCAAAAAGTAGTCGAGAATGGGGCGGGTCAGGATTGGTCGGGTCAATGAGAATACCCATACCTGCCCCACCCTACCTCAAAACAGGTCAACCAGGTTGTTTTTAGACATAAAAAACATTACAAACATAGTTGACAAAAATGATAATCATGATGCACAAAAATAACAAAGTTTACAAACATTACAAAAGAAATCGGAAAAAAAAAACATTAAAAAAATAATAAAGCTTTCAAACATTATAGAATAAACCGAAAAACATTACAAAGCATACTAACAGTACAAATAACAGTACTTACAATACAAATCAGTAAAATTGTATTAAAATCAATAAATACAAAGTATACCAGTCATAACATAAAATATACAAAATAGTGTAACAAATATTAGAAATCAAAATAAATACAAATTAGTCATATAAACATTACAAACACAATAAACAAAAATAACAAACTAGAATGATAAACGATACAAACCGAATTGATATCATTATTACAGACGAGACTTATAAAAATTACAAAATAGATCGACAAACATCACGAATCAGCACTGCCGCCGGAAAATCCGTCGTCGATCGCCGAAAATCCACCGTTTTCTCTCTCTCTTATCTCTCTCTCAGCCTGATGGGTAATTCTCTCGTAGCCTGATGGGGAATTCTTTTGACCAAAGTTCCCAGCGCCCAAGCCGTTGGAAGGGACGGGGACGGGAAAAGTTTCCAGCGCCGAAAAATTTTCAGCCCAGCGGTGGGAACTCAAAAGCACCCGGTAGAAGGGCCAGAGACGAGATATATATTTTTATTCATTTTATAATTACAAATTAAAATAATTATGTAATTACTACATTACCCTTTATAAACTTAGATTAATCTGAACCATTGGATTTTAATGAGGTGGAAGAGTTGAGATTCACTTAGTCATGTGACTAAGGCACCCCATTAGACCTTAGTTACTTGATCTTAGCCCCATAATAAATTACCCGATTTGGATTCGACCTGCCACGGGACAGGTATGGAAATTGAGATACTCGGCCCGAACTTGCTCCATTGCTATTCCTAACTGGGAGGAAGACGTCGCCGAAATAAAAA